ATTTGAGAATCACGACAGTAACCATCGATTTATGGATTTCACAGAACAAGTAAGAAGTGGGGGAACATATTTTTCCTCGATCTCCCATACAAGAACCACCTCCAAGAAAACAACTTAACCCAACAGCCAAATAATCAGACTAAAATAATTATTGACCATCGAGATTTTATAGCAATCATCATTCATCACTCTATTCATCAAAGATCATCCTTCTATAACCTGAACAACTGTTACTTTGTGCAGCTTACAAAGATTGATGATGGTTTTAAATTACAAATTCCATTCAAAAGATCAAGACTAACAAATTGGATGCCATGGATATTTAATACATTACAGTAAAATCTTGTTAAAACAGACTTGGGACTTCAGAAAAAGTCTTTTATACTGAATAATTTGTTATACTGTAGATAGATTTTCAAAATTAATGACTGGAATTTTTTCAACAACGGACATGCGAATAATCAGATCTTGCTTTCTTGGCATTCTCAGATTTTATATTATTGTTTGAAAAAGTAAGTGCTTGATTTTCTAATCAGCATGCATTCCATCAGTTGTAATAATCTCTTCATTCTGGGATGATGAGTGGATCCGCTTGGAAGCATACGTTTGTCATTGAGTAAAGCTTCCTTCCATACTACATGAACCAGTCACATTTGTAACTGGAAAATTCAGACTGCGCCTGCCTTTGTCAGGATACTTCTACCTGGAGAATCTATTAAACATTCCACAGAAAAGTTTGAATTTTTCAGTTTGTATTGTTATACTGTACTGGAATTCGGAAGTTTGTAATAACAAGATTTTAAAACATTTAATCTATGGGCTTTCTGCCAGGACTTGAGAAAAAGTTTGCTACTCTGAAAAATGTTTTGTATACGCTTTCTGTTGTAACGAGATTTTACTGCATTTTCAAAGGTATACATCTTGACAGAAACTGGCTGTCCCTCACTTCCACTGCGAGTTGCCTCACAATGCCTGATCTACAGTACCGTACCTTGTTCAATGGAAATCTAGAGCGTTGAAAAAAAAAATTATGATCAACTTACCGGGACTCCGGAAGCATGTCGTAGGTTTGCATGATAGTTTCCACCAGTGTCACCGTTTTTCCAGTTCCTGGGGGACCGAATAGGAGGTACGGTGCCTTTGTGCTTGAATTAAAAATGTTGAGAACAGCCTTCCGTTGCAGCTCGTTTAAATGACGGTTAAACCAACGGATTTTCCGCGTGCCAGGGGCATGCTAGGTGAAGGAAAAGCAATTACCACAAATACATTTCCAATCCTGTAATCCAAACTTATTGAGGTACAGTAATTTCACAATGAAAGTTGTATCAAGATCAAAGATCTGACGTTTCAAACGAACGACAGACTTCATGGTGAATATGCAGAACTGGCACAGTTTTTAAATATATTGTGCAAAAGAACAAGTTCCAAGGATTCCCAATCTTTCACCTTGTTTCGAATCAAAAGCGGATATACCTCATCTTCGACAGCAGCAACCGAACCAGGAGCGGGGCGGAATTCACTCCGATATTCACGAGCATAAGTCAACTTCAAAATTGGCTCAGCTTCCTGAGGAAATTCCTGCAGACCAGATCGATTCTCGTTCAGTATCACATTTATTTGGAAACTTGGAAGAGGTTCCAACCAACCGGGAAAATATTGTCCATTCCGATACATTCCGAAGCTTTCTCAAGTGCCACATGCTTGCGTCTATAGCTGCCCTCGTTCAACTTGAAGCGAACATCCACTTTCGAGTTCTTTTTCAGAAACCGCTCTAGAATGTGATCACGTTTCACGTACAGTTTCTCATCGGCCACCTTCTCAACTTCCGTTTCTACGACGCAACCTTGGCGAACCAAAAGATAGTCACGTTCAGGAGAAGAAGACAAATAAAAATTAAAAATGAGCGATTATTTCAAAATCTAATGCACAGAGCAGATATGCAATTATGTTGCCTACTGCAAGATTATGATTCCTATCTCTAAAAACACGAAACACTGATCGATTCACGTGGGAAGGGTACTCGTACTTGAGTGAAAACATATAATTGACTTGAACACATATACCGTAATTGAACACATAAAATATATAACTGATTTAACTTTACTCTTGAGCCTGAAATCCAAATTTTTCTACAAATTGTTACATAGCAGACGTAATTTTTTTTAATAAGATTAGGATATTTGTATCACCAGAAATTGGGGTGGATGTCTTGTGCTACAAGCCTACGACACATCTTTGGCCAAATTTTATTCCGCAAAATAAAGGTGCGCATCTTACTCGAGGGCACGTCCAACTTTTTCGCAACAGTTATTCATGCTACAAGAAGAGCATCAACTTCAAGACAATTAATGCAGACACTACTGACGTCATCATCCCTTCAACGACCTAATACCAACAAATCCATGACGAGCTTTCCTTTGCAATAGGGCTAGATGTCGCAATCTGTTCACAATCACAACCATGAATAATCCGTTTCAGTTCTCCCCCTTTTAATTAAGTACTTCTATAATTCAGTAGATTTTCTAATACAGTAGAACCCTAAATCATCCGAGAACCAATGGAAAACTTGACACCAATTAGAGAGAGAAAAAAAAATAAAAATAGCGACCTTCGGTTCTCTGTGATACTCATCGCCCTCAACGATTGGTGAGTGGGTGTGTTCAATTGTGCACGCTTTCACATGAAACCGCTGACCCAAACAAAAAGCATTGAAATATACAAGGTTCCGATATTAACTCAGAGAAAGAGTGAAAAAACGTACTTGAGAGACTGCGCGCTTCAGTGATGGACACACAGATTCCTGGTTGCAGATACTGTTTAATGCTGAGAAGATGATCAAGGAGAATTCGGTCATGGGTTGAAGCTTCAGCACCGTTTA